AATTTTAAAAGGTTCCCTGCCCCTTCCCGAGTGGAGGGAACCCCCTGATATGTGAATTTGCTCCTTAGCTGGGTACAATATGTACATGATTTGCAGCAGCCCGACCCTGGAATTAGCCGAGGTTCTGGAAGTAATCAGCGGAATTGGAGGTGCCAGTATATGGAGCTACAGAGCCTGTACATTTTCTTCTGGTAATGCGTTTAATTAAGACCAAATGATTACACAATTTCTAAAGGCCAACGTTTTCCTCATAAAACATTTCTAAAATTCCCAAGCATAATCTTCAGTAACCATGTTTGAATTTTTTTCAAGTATTATTATTATTCTATTTCAAAAAAACACTTGCATTTTAAATACTTAATTAAATGTTTCATAGATTTGGAGATCCCTACAGCCTATGGATTCTCTGAAGAAAGCCAAGGAAACGGTCAGGCTATAAAATGATTTTTCAATGCTGTGTGAAGGCACCAGCCCTGAGCTTCATTTCTTGAACATGTAATTCTGTAGAACTGAGGGAAAGACATCAAGTTTGTGAAGAGGGTTCACAGTGCCATGGACACATCACCAACGACAAAATTTTACTGAATCCAAATCACTCTCTAGGCTGGTGCCAAACAAAGCCACCCCCTCAGTGCCCACCTGCTCAGTGCCCGGAGCCTTGACTGAGCCGTGGGCCCCCATTTCTTGGAGTGCCCTCCCATGCCACCCTACATTGCCCCTGGATAGGCACAGGTGTCTCAGACTCAGTGTTTAAAATGCTCATTTTCCCCAAAGTTCTGCTATTCTCCTGTATTTCCTGTTTCAATGAATGACACTGCCATTCTAGCTGACACTGACACTTCTAGCTAATCACTGAAGCCAGGAAACTGGAAGTCATTTAAAATCCTTCTTCTCCTTCACCCCCTGCATATAACAGTCACCAAATGCTTTTGATCCCACTCCCAGAAAGCTCCTGTGCCCATCCACTTCCCTACATCCTCACTGCCACTACCAGATCCAGGTCACTGTCATCTCCAACTGAATGACACCAACAGGGCTTCCTTCCCATCCATTCTCTGCATCAGAGCCAGGGTGCACTTATGAAGTGCCCACTCATCATAAAGTCTAAACCACAAATTGCTTCTCCACCTGACTCCCAGCTCACCTCTCTGGCCTCATACTCTGTTTCTGTGCCGGTGATTCTGAATGTCTGTTGGCTGTCCTATGAGCGTATTTTCACTAGCTCCTTTCACATCTGCTGTTGCCTCTGTGGCCTCTGCCCCACTGCTGTCTGCTCCTCAGCCTTCACATGAGTCCAAGTCAGAGGTTTCCTATAGACGGGGACAGGTGTCCTCCCTGTGGGCCACCATGGCAAGCTCAACAGGTAAGTAGCATGCACACTAAATTTCAAAACTGCTGGGGTAAAGCTCGTCACTCTACAACTCGCTGCAGAGTGTGATATGAGAACCAGCAGCAATGGCTGCGCCTGGGAGCTTGTCGGAAATGAGGAATCTCGCTCCACCCACCTGACCTGCTGAACTAGGATCTGCATTTTATAAAGAGGCAGGTGATCTGCATGCACCATTAGCAGGCGAAACACTGCTCTAGAGAGGACCAGTTCCTAACCTGGTTACACACTGGAACCACCCAGGTCACTTAAAACATGTCACCATAGCCCAAGTACCATCCCCAGAAATTCTGATTTAATTGGTCTGGAGGGTGATCTGAGCACATGGAGTTTTTAAAGCTCCCCAAGTAATTTTATTGTGCAGCCAAGGTTGAGAACCACTTATACTGGATGACTAGATATATCCTAGGGGAGGAAGTCAATTTGTCGAATGGATTGTGAAACTCAGAAAGCACAATAATCTAAAAGGCAAAGTTCTTTTGATTGAAAAGAGCAGGACCCCAGAGGGAAAGAAAGTTGTTTTTCTTTTTCAGTTCCAAAAAGGACTGGTTTGAAAAATCACAAGACAAACCATGAAGGATGAGAACATACAGTTTATAAAATGAAATACAGCATTTAGAAAGTGCTCCATTCAATGACCATTAGGGAAATAGCTTTCACTACTTCCCAGGCAAAGCATCAGAAAACTGCAACCCAGTTAAGTGCTGGAGCAACAAGATTCCTGGGTGGAAAATTGGCAATAGGTAAAGGAAATCAGGTGGATAAACCTAAAGACAATCTGAGAAACCTGAAGACCCCAACCTGTGAGTATCTGAGTCCCAAGAGTCGCACAGAAGCACTTGCTAAGACAGTAGACTACAAGAAGCCAAAACAAAAGGAAGCTCCAGGCAGGACACAGGGAACTTTTAGAGATGACGTCTTGCTCTGTTCGTCAGGCTGGAGTTCAGTCAGGCTGGAGTGCAGTGGTGCAATCATAGCTCACTGCAGCCTTACACTTCTGAGCTCCAGTGATCTCCCTGCCTCAGCCTCCCGAGTAATGGGGACTACAGGTGCATGCCACCATGCATGGCTAATTTTCTTTTTCTTTTCCTTTTTTCTTTAGAGACAGAGTTTTGCTGTATTTCCCAGGATGTTCTCAAATTCCTGGCTTCAAGTGATTCTCCTGCCTCAGCCTCCTGAGTTGCTGGGATTACAGGTGCCCAGCTTAACAGGAAGCTTTTGAGCAGAGGGTCACCATGCAGACTACAGAGGTAGCTGCAGAAGTTTGAGCAACACCTCAAGGACCACCAGGGACAGACCTGCCCTTCAGCCAGAGACCAATAATAGCAGATGATGCACTGGGGCCAGATGTCCCTTGCCACTCCCTGGCCAACAGATACACCCCTTTCTACTCCATTCCTTGGGAGAGTGGCAGCAGAGGGAGGAGGAAGAGAATATTGAATATGAATGTTTACCCAAATAAGACTAAGTTTGAAGCTGGAAGTGACTCTAAGATTGATGTTTTCTGCCATGTTGGAAATGGAGGCTTGAGAGCTAAGTGGAATTCATTTATAGAAAAGAGGAAAGTTCCATGTCTGATTCCTGAATTACGCCTGCAGATTTGAAATCCATTATATTAGTCACCTGCCTATCAGGGAGTTTTCTTCTCCATAGGTCCCTGGAGTTTTGGTGTCAAGACAAAAAGTCTTTTTTGAGTGGCGGTTTTTTTTTTTGGACCAAGAAAATCAGGGGAAAATGTTATAGAATTATGAATCACAAGACATCTGTAGTCCTACGTGAGAGGCAAAATTGGGGCCAGAACCCAGGTCTACTAAGATGCACAGATGAAGTCTGAAAACCTCGACTCTCTTTATGGATAAGAATTCAAACCAAGCAGCATTGATGGGCCATAGTAAAGGACATTTACTTCAGTGACAGAGGGATGCACTGCATTGACACCACTGATTATTATAAATTGGACTAGCTTCAGCAGATGAATCTATTGATTAGCATATGGCTTCAAATGAACTTTTTCTGATTATTAAGAAGGGATGAAAAGACATAATTAAGTAATGATCGATACTAACATTGCACAAAATTTAGCTTCTCTTCCCTGTCCTACTATTTTTTTTTCTCACTGAAGGGAATATCTTTCCTGGCTCTCATTTGGGACATGTTTAGCCTCGCAGGAAGTTGATGGACTGGCTATTTGATAGATACCTCTTTTATTTCCTTTGCCTTGTGGAAGGCATAGCCTTTCTGTCTTTCAAGTTCCCTGGTCTTAAGAGTTGGAAAAGGAAGCTTATGACAGACAAGCATAATGAATAGCAATAACTTTTCTAATTAACTGTTTATCTAAAGTGCAAACCAGGAGTTGAATTTCATTAATCACTCTGACATATTTTGGGTAGGACACACATAAGGGACCTAGATTTTTGAATTATTTTAAATTAGCATGTATTATGTAATGAGAACCCCTCCCCCCAAAACCAACTAACCATCATTAATGTCTATAATATAAACTAAGAAAATAAATTTAACTAAACGCTCTTGAAATTGCCACAGGTAGAAAGCGTTAGTATACAATATAATACCAAATCTGCTTTGAGTCCATAATGATGTCTATGTTAGCATCATGAAGGGTTTCTGGCAAATTTAAAAGAATATGTTGCGGTATCCTTTATGCCTAATCCCAGAGGAGAAGAGAAAGCCAAGGATTGAAATTAATGATGTATATTTAGGCAGTCAGCTTATTGGACTAATACTCTAAACCAGAAAAAAAGCTCTACATATGGAAAATTCCCAATTAGGGGAGGGGCTGGTGGAGACAAGGTTTTTACAAGCAGTTGAAGCTGTCATTTAACTATTAATAATTTCCAAGTACTTATTGAAACCATCTTAAAATAACCAACATAAAAGTGAAAATCAAACCATAAAACCAAGAAGTCTAATGTTCTCTGCTTAAAAACTGTGATTACTGAAATAATCCTTTAAGACAAATCCATATTTTCATTTAGCATGCACAAAACATAAATCATCTTATCTGTGTTTTATGACTTTCCATGAGCCTTCAATAATGAATTAAGAAATCAAGAATAGTTTATGATTCCTATCATGAACCAGTTCTTTTTTCCTCCACTTTAAAATATCCAGTCTATCATTGAAAACTCACAAAATATGGCTGGAAAATATTTATGCTTAAAAAACATGAGCTTCCTGACAGAAACAATGAGGTTCATACATTAATTAATATTAACTACAAGCTCAAAAGGGAATTACATGGTTAAAATAAATTGCTCTGGAAAGGTGTCTGATGCAAGCTGTTTTTGTCAATGGAGGCCAAATGACTCGGGAGTTTCAAACAAAAACTTGGGTTGGGAAGTAGTATGTTCAATGCAGCTTTTTAAGCCATCTTGCCTTTCTATCATAGTCTCTCCACAGGAAAGGGAGTATTTATTTTGTCTTCCTTCAAATTCTCGTGAAAGTCACTCCGAATCATACACAAAAACCCTGTTCCATCTTTAAGCTTGGCCTTCATCAGTAAGAGAGAACTGCTTACATGTGCTGTGTTTTCCAGACAGTGGACCATTTCCAGGAAGTAGACTCTTAAGTGCGGAAAGAAAGAAAACCTTACCTGGGTAATCGTTCTTGTCTATGTCGGAATCTCCTCTTAAAGTAAAGCCAAATCCAGAAGGGACAGCCTGGGAGGCCCACACTCCTTGCAGAATTTGGGAAGGCTTGGTGTTTAGGCCATCTTTGTTCCCGTTGTAAATGAGCACTTTGCCTCTTTTATCCTTGCCTGCAAAGGGCACACCGATGGCAATGTCTACAAACGGAGATATGGAAACATATTTGTTTAAAGTGAAATGTTTTAGAGTAAAGTACAATCAAAGAGCAATACCATTAAGTCCAAAAGGCTTTTTACTTTTTTCATGGAAATTCTGTAGCACTGCAACGACAGTAAATTATTTGTTGTTTTTTATCCATCCAACAAATTATTTATCGAGTGCCTATCACGTGCCAGATACAGTGGGTACAACAGTGAAACAGGCATTCAAAGCCCATGCTTTCAGAAATCTGATATTGTAGTACAGGTAATAGTTTGAATAGAGAAATAGTCAAGAAAATATCAAAAGTGATAAATGCTATGTAGAGAATCTTAAAAATACTGATACGATGGAAAACGGTCAGGTGGTTGTTTTAGAAACTGAAATCTAAGGACAAGAAGGAACCAACCACGTGAAAATCAGAGGGAAGAGTACTTTAAGCAGAAACAACTGGTATACAAAGACCCAAAGGTGGCCTGTTAAGAAGTGGCCAGAGAGGATGCTCTGCATGGGAACTCAGGGAGTGACTGAGATAGCAAGAACAGATCATGGGGCTGGGTGAGCCAGGTTAGGAACCTTTGCAGGCTACTTAGGAGAGTCTTGTTTCAAAAAAAAGAAAAACTTCATTCACAAAGATTATATCATTTTCTGATTACCTAGTCCCATGAAGTAGGCAAGACCCATTCTCTAGTTGATGATATCAGGAAACCTAGAGAAAGCCATGCTACCTGACTCCCACTTAAATACGCTATTATCTTGCACATATTCTGTGTATCAGGTTTGTCCTGAACAATAAACATAAGTACTTAGCTGTACTTGAAGAGGAGTTCTGATAACACAATTACCATACTAGTCCCCCACAGTGTAATACAGTGTGTGTTCTCATTTGTCATTCTGTCATTTCTCTTTGTTGCTAGCTAAGCATGGATAATAATGAATAAATTTGGATTCAATTTTCATTATGTTAATAAGCATTATAAATCCACTTTCATTTAACAGGTAAAGATGATTTAAAAACTCAGATTGTTGTAGAAAACAAAGATATTGTCCTGTTGTGGGGTCAAAAGAAATACTTTCTTCACTTCCTCTAAGTCACTGTCTTGGCCTCTGTTCCCTTGTTTAGTCCTAGTGAGCTTGGCATTTTATTTTAACCTACTTTATACTCAAGGATGCCAAGGCTCAGAGAGGCTTAGATTCCCTCTTATGCCATTAAAAATGCTTCTCTTAGCTTTTTAAAATACCACTAAGGGTTTGAGAGCAAAGAAAAATAGAAGAAAACATGATTAAAAAGACAACTCCATAGATAATTTAGCATTATTTCACTTGGGTGATCAGGACTAGGACAGTTTTGGAATGCAACAGGTCATTTAAAAGGTGACCTTGTCTTTTCTCAATTTCTCTGGAAAATAAGCTTTTAATATGTACTTAGGTTTTATGGTACTTTAAAAATTACTAACTGTACATTGCTAAGAAATGTTTTTTCAAAGAACTCCTAAGTCTACAATAGCATTTACCAAAGGTGCTAATGAATGCTGATCTCATGTGAATTCTCCTGAGGCTACTTTATTAGTGCAAATTCTTGTTCCCTCCTTGACTTCAATCAAGAAACCCACTATGCTTCAGTTCTTCACTCAAGGTCCTGAAAACATATTTCAAATTTTTTGAATGTGCATGTTTTTCTGAGGAGAGGTACTTAGAAGGCTTCGTAAATTCCCAACTTAGAAAACTGTAAGCCTAAGCTAAGAGTTTAACACTACTTTTTTGCAAACATTGAAAGTGCCTTTAAGCTGAAGTTTACAGACCAACAAAAACTCTACAAAAACCTACACATAGCCCATGTAAGTTAATCAGAAAACAGATACTTGCTAATATATCAGCATGTTATTTATTTGTCTTGACTGTCTTGATAGAAAAGATTCTCTGGTTCTTTTTAGGAGAATCAAATCCAAACATCAATTTTAAAAATAATTTCTGCCACTATTGAGAGTGGTTATAGGACAGCCCAAATCAAATATGAGAAAATTTCCATGTATTATATTAGTCAAGACTTATAAACTTAAGTTTCCCTTGAAATTTTCCATAGTTTATTGAAAATTGGTAACAATAACCATACCCACACACACTATGGTAAATATGGTACACTATGTACTGTGTACAGTATTTACACTATGGTAAATATTACTTTAAAATATTCGTCATTTTCTTTATGCAATAGTAAGATGAAATTATGATACATAAATGACTTCCCCACATTAGTTTAAATTACCATTGTATCCATCTTGGTTCAGGTCCCCTAAGTGCGCCACAGCACTACCGAATCTCCCGAAAGTCTCGGTGCCCGTGAGTACCTGTGGGTCTCTGAAGAAGAGAGAGCTCACTTGCAAATACAGGTAGATTTGCCCTACTTCTCGAGGGTTGCTCTCAAATTCGCGTTCCATAAAGAGAGGTGCTCCAACCAGTATGTCATCCATCCTGTAGGGAGCAAAGATTGCAGTCAGCATACTGGCAGACATGAGAGTCGTTATGGTGTATTTGTGATCAATTCTATGAGTACATTTCCATTGGTGTTTTTCCTTTTCTGGGGGTCATTTTATAATTATAGTACATCTTTCACTACTTTGTTATGTTTATAGCATAGAACACTGTAAGAAAATAAGAGTTGTTAAATTATCACTCTGAACTTTTTAGCTATGTTAAAAATGACTATTTTAAGAAAACCACACATATTTCACCCTTTTCAGCTTTTTAATGAAATTCCAGAAACTGTAGTTATACAAAGAAAGCATAGCAAGTAAGGCCTAAATAAGTTTTTCTATAAGTGGATTAGACTTTTCTACGATGTATATAACTGTGCATTTAAACAATGCCATTTTCTTGGAGTAATAGTGTTTAAAATCAATTTTATCCTTCCCTTTTCTTTTGTTAACTTGATTTAAATAAAAACAGAGGCCAGAGCGATGTATATGGTTGGCTAGAAAGTTAGAAAACAAATTATCATCCCAAATGAAAATTTATAATCTACACTGAATGTGTAGGTTATGGCAGAAAAAAATTAAATAATCCTTAAAGGTAAAAAAAAATTCAAGAAACAGACACCTAAGCAAATTATTTAGAGATAAAGACATAAACACAACTGAATAAAAACCAAAAGTGGTTAAAGGTATTTTGTTCACAGAGCCAGACGGGCAGGAACAGGAATAAAGGAGAAAACTGCACCATGAGCCTTCTAAGGTATTTGATTTTTTGAAAATATGTATGTATGATTTTTGCTTTAAAATTTTAAAGAAAAGTCACACCAACCAAACTACATAATTTGATCCATACTAATGACATCTACTAAAGTTTGTCTGCAGACACCCATCTTGGCAGATACAATCATTTGAATGGTGACCTGAGGCAGGAACACAAATTTGTATGTGGCTTTTATGTCTGTGTAGATTGAGTAATGCACTGAAGTCTGCCAAGTAAACTAATTACTAAAATATTATCATTAATATGATTTAGTTATATGTATCAGTATATATTAATATCAATGTTTATTAATAATATACTCATGCAATATATAAAATTAATTTATATTAGAAAATAATATATAATAACAAGCCAATGGTATATTAGTATATTAATAACACATATTAAGTATATAAAGAATGAATAAAATAATATATTGATCATATATTATATAATATATAAAATATAATAAATCTATTATATATTATATACAAATATCATAAACATTAATAATATTAATAGATTCTACATCATGAGTCTCATATATCTTGAATGTCATTAATATCAAAATGCAGTGATAAGGTGGGAACAGTTACTGAAAGCAAGAAACTTTATGATCTGAGTGGTCTGCAAGACACTGTAGACATTGTGTTGTCCCACCCTCTAACTTCTCTCCTTTCCTATGGTATTTATCTACTATTTCTCGGGTGAGTCAACAGACATCCTGTGTGCCTACTGTGTTTAAGGTGCTGTGTTATGTGATTTAAACCAATGAGGTCCCTAATTAATGTACAAGTGACATTAAATTGCTATTTATATAATTGTAAACAAGAAAGATTGGGAAATATCATATGAGAGATCCAGATTAATGCTAGAGATCCCAGATAGAGGAGAGGCTTGGTATTTGGAGGGAGTCAAGGAAGGCTCCATGGAACAGGTGGCATTGGACCTGAGTGGGATTCTGACAAGTGGTTCTAGAAGTAGGCTTTCCAAGGGGTGGTATTATGAACCAAGACAAATGCCCTTGGAGTCAGGGAATAGTGAGCGGTCTAGATGTGCTTGGTACCAGAGGGATTCCAACAAATCTAATTGGAAAACCAAAATGTACAAAGACTTAAAACCCAACAATACAAAGTCATGTATAACAATAACATATATCATTATTATATATTATATACTATATATTATATAATCTATAATTAGATAATATACAATAAGAATAAGAAAACTAAAAAATTAGACAAAAGATCCACATAGATACCTCATCAAAAAAGATACAGATGGCAAACAAGCATATGGAAAGATGCTCAATATGTCATTAGGAATTGCAAATTAAAACATCATATCACCACAAATCTCTTAGAATGGCTAAAATCCAAGATACTGACAGCACCAAATGTTGGCAAGGATGTACAGCAACAGGAACTCTCCTTGATTGCTGGTGGAAATGCAAAATGGTGCAGCCACGTGGAAGATAGTCTAGCAGTTTCTTACAAAGCTAAACATAGGCTTACCATCTGATCCCACAATTGTGCTCCTTGGCAGTTACCCAATGGTGTTGAAAACATATAGCCATACAAAAGCCTGCATGCAAACATTTATAGCATAGTTGCCAAAACTTGGAAACAACTAAGAAACTCTTCAATAAGTGAGTGGATAAGCAAACTGTATAATATTTATCCAATGGAATATTATTTAGCAATTTGGAAGAAATGAGCTATCAAGCTACAAGACATGGAGGAACTTTAAATGCACGTTGCTAAGTGAAAGACACCTGAAAAGGCAACATATTGTATTATTCCAATTATGTAACATCCAGGAAAATGTAAAACTACAGAGACAGTAAACAGATCCAAAGTCTGACAAGGTTGAAAGGGGAGGGGAAAGGGATGGGAAGGGGAAGGGGATGAAGAGGTCAAGCACAGGGGACTTTAGAATAGTGAAACTATTCTGTATGATGCTACAATATGATCATATGCATTTGGCAAAGCCCTTAAAACTATACCACACAAAGAATGAACCCTGATGTAAACTATGCACTTTTTCTTAATAATGTATCAATATAGGTTCATCAGTTATAGCAAATGGACCACAATATTGCATGACACTCATAGGGCAAACTGAAGCAGCGGGAGAAGGAAAGTTTATGGAAACTCGGTACTTCCTGCTCAATTTTTCTATAAACCTAAAACTGCTCTAAGAAATAAAGTCTATTAATAATAAAAGATATCTGGAAAAGTAAGTTGAGTCCAGATAATATGGGAAAAATGAGTTTTAGTGTCATACTGATCTAGACTTTAAATCTCTTCTAGTAATTAGGCACCTCATATTGAAGAAGTTACATTACCTATTTAAAATGTGAATAGTATTGAAATAGGCTGCTTCACTGGATATATCACTTGAGTGCTCTCTCTCTCTCTCTCTCTCTCTCTCTCTCTCTCTCTCTCTCTCATATGTTACACAGTAGCATTTAATAAATGGTAGGTTTTTACCAAGGCATTGTGCTAGTAGATGTTGAAAGGGATACACAATATTTTTACACGTTATAACAATGCAAACAGAAAGAGTTCCTGTTAAAAAAGCAAAATGCACTTGCCTTCTCCTCTCCTAGTCCGTAGAAAACAGAAACAAGGAGAAGAGTAACCCTGGGATAGTCTGGGCCCTAGAGCTGCTTCTAGAATAGGCTCTTACTTGTTTCCCACAGCAGTGCACAAAATGGACAAGCACCTTTACCATTTCTGACTGACCACACTTTAACAAGGAAGCGAGGGACTGTGGCACAGAAAGGCCGCCCTGAGTAATGGCTATCATTTTGGTCCCAGATGCCAAAACAGAAAGTAGATTGCTAAACTTAGGTAAAATGTTTTTGTAAAAGTTTTGTAAATACATTTATTAAAAAAAAAAAAAAATCTCCCATTGCTAGTCACATTGCGTGCCCCAGGCTGGGAGGAGAGCAGGGATTTGGCTCTTCCAGCCCCTGGCTTAACTTGGAGGAGCCCTTGTTGCCTTTATTTCTAAAGTTATTGTCAGTATGAAGAGGCATTTGTTAAATACCCAGTTGTGGCTGCCTTGCAGCCTCGAAGTAAAAGATCTAAAGTCACTGGTTCTCTATTATAGAGATTTAGCAGGGCCATTTTCTCATTCTATAGAGAAGGAACAAAGGATATAATTGGTCCCAGAGGGTATGAACATACATGGGGACTGACAGTTGGCTCAATGCATTTCTCGCTGCCAACACTGAGTTCTAGAAATGAAAAATTGTTAGACCTATTACTGTGAAAGCACATCCTTAGAATCCTTGGATTCTAGAAGTCATATGACAGCATTGATTTATTTGCTTAGCAATACATTTCCCTAGATACTTAAGTGTAAGTCTCCTAAGATGTTCTAAATGCCAGAAAGAGAAAGAGACATTTGTTCTTAATTTACAATTATGTTCTCATAGAGTTGAGAGACATTAACTGTCTTGAGTCAATTTGTATAATGTGTCTTGTAGAGTATTTTGCACTTAGTGTAAATATTATTTTATATTAGCAATACTTGCATAATATTTTGCACTTAGTGTAAATATTATTTTATATTTGTAATACCACTTAAGAGTCACAATATATTTTATTGCATAGGTTGGTGTTTTAAAATCTTGACATGTAATCCATTAATAGATTGTGAAATCAATTTAATGGGTCTTGACCAACATTTTTTGATGAAATAAAATATAATAGAAGATAAAATGAATGCATTATATATAATAAGTGTATATATTGTCCTGTGAAACTTGTTTTAGTTGTCTGTGTGTTTGTATTCAATTGCAATGTCAAAAATATTTTTTATTATGGACCACAGGCAACAAATGGTTGAAGAACCATTTTAGGAGCCTGTGTGTTCCATTAAGCTATGTCAAAATTTATTTGTCAAATCCTTTTTTTGAATATACCCAATTTAAACTTAGAGTTTTAAAATATTTATTAGTAAAGATGTTTTTCACTGACCTGGTAAGTAGTTGTGTGTCATAGGCTGGATGCCATTTTAAGAGAATATATGTTTATATGCATAGAGACATTAAAAAATATATTTTTTAATCTAAAAAAAGATCAACGATGGAGAAATAATGTTAACAATGTGATGTTTGGTAAAAATCTGTTTTCTCTGTCTGGGTCTTGTTGGTAGTTTGGATAATATCTCAGTTATTACATAAAGGCATTTCATGGGAGTAGAATGTATATATTAAACTTTATTTTATT